TGGTACAAAGGCGTACCTAACTCTTCAGATTGAGAATCCAAGAGTTGATCCGCCGATTGATAAATACCGAGTGGTTTACAGAGGAATATTCAATTACTATCAACAAGAATATTGGGTTGACTTCAATGCATGTAAGTATTCAATGGATTCTTGTTTTTGATAATACCCTATACTTAGAGCGTGTATTTGATAATAAAATAACTATTATTTCTTTAGTGAATGTCAGCGAAAGTGATAAAAACACTATTTATGTCGTCAAACTTGATGTCGATTACACCTCTCAAGACTTGTTGGCATTTAAACTCTACGCTCACAACCCGGTCGGCTGGTCCTACCCTCTCTTCAATTGAATTCAACATTTCATTCATTTTGAATCTTCATTTCGTTAGCATTTATCATATTTATTTCACTTTTATTTAAGAAAACACATTTTAGTATATATTTAGGTTTTTGAACTTAAATTATGTAAGCGTTTGATGATTTGGTTTTTCGTAATTAGTTTGCCTTTCGGGTGAACGCGTTCACAGCAATCATAATAATAAATAAACAATTTGTGATATTTCTCTTCAAAAATCATGAAATCATAAAAAAACGTATTTTTCTTATTCATTAAATAAACGAAAGTTTGATAAACGAAAGTTTAAAATTTAAAAAATCTGTATTTGACTTATAATTTAGTCAATTCATTATCTTTATTGAAATCGTCTCAATAATAACCAAATGATTGATAACACAGTTTTAATTGGGATGGGGTTAGGATGGGGTCGGGTTTCAAGTTAGGGTGAGTTCTCTAATTAATGTGAAATTGGAAACATTGAAATGTCTGATCAATGAATTGGTATAAAGAAAACATGTCTTGTTTTGTTTCAAAATTTATGATTTATTAAAATACATAGTCACTGTATGTGAATGCTTAAATAAACCTCACAAAGATTTTATTTATAAGGCATTGATTATACAGTACAGAAGTATTAGTATATAATTTGTAGTCTTTATACATCCTAATCATAAATCCTTGTAATAATAATGTGGTATTTATGTTATTTAAAAGTATTATTAAATTTTAAAGGTATTTGTTAGAACTTTTATTTGAATAAAGTGGTTATATGCAACAAAAATTATATTCAATTTTACGGTGTTTATATTGTGGTGTTTAAATATTTTAAATATAAAAGTTTCAATTCTTGACTGTATGTGTGTTTGTGGGCATATAATCAGTAGTTTTACATTCAAAACCTGAAGCAATCAATCAAACGAAACCCAACCCAATATTCAAAGGACATGTCTTACGTTTTGTTGAGATTATATATTTAAGTTTACATTCAGATAATATTCAGAAGCATAACATTTTGAATAGACTTTATGTCTAATAAGTTATAGATTAACATTAAGTGATAAAACGTCTTATTAAACCATTTAAATAAGACAAGTGTTCACAGGAATATTTGTCAAACATAGTCACTGTATGTGAATGCTTAAATAAACCTCACAAAGATTTTATTTATAAGGCATTGATTATACAGTACAGAAGTATTAGTATATAATTTGTAGTCTTTATACATCCTAATCATAAATCCTTATAATAATAATGTGGTATTTATGTTATTTAAAAGTATTATTAAATTTTAAAGGTATTTTGTTAGAACTTTTATTTGAATAAACGTGGTTATATGCAACAAACATTATATTCAATTTTACGGTGTTTATATTGTGGTGTTTAAATATTTTAAATATAAAAGTTTAAATTCTTGACTGTATGTGTGTTTGTGGGCATATAATCAGTAGTTTTACATTCAAAACCTGAAGCAATCTATCAAACGAAACCCAACCCAATATTCAAAGGACATGTCTTACGTTTTGTAGAGATTATATATTTCAGTTTACAATGAGATAATATTCAGAAGCATAACATTTTGAATAGACTTTATGTCTAATAAGTTATAGATTAACATTAAGTGATAAAACGTCTTATTAAACCATTTAAATAAGACAAGTGTTCACAGGAATATTTGTCAAAGATAATATTCAGAAGCATAACATTTTGAATAGACTTTATGTCTAATAAGTTATAGATTAACATTAAGTGATAAAACGTCTTATTAAACCATTTAAATAAGACAAGTGTTCACAGGAATATTTGTCAGTTTGAAAGTCACAGTCAAATAAAGTTAGCATAAAATTAGCCAAGAATTTGGTAATTGATTTAATTGTGAAGAGATGTCAGAATTGCCAAAAGGGATGATCCAAACAGGTATGTAGTAAAACAGACATTACATATGCCATAAATAATTCATACATTATTTTACATGGTTTTTCAATTACTTTTTTACTTTCTCTTCGCGAGACCTGTATTTATGAACCAAAATAATGAGCAAAAAATATTTGTGTTTCTAGTGTGCGGTCCCATAGACCCCGCGAACTTGGGTTCAACGCTCTGTCACGAGCACCTGTACCACGAGATTGACGGTAAGCCTTTCCATCCGCGCCCACCCAACTCTATACACGAGAAGCTGAATTCGAGTTCAATAAACGCCGAGAACTTGTGGTGGACTACCTTTCACCCGTACTCGCACCGGGATAACCTTAATTACAGGGACAGGGAGATCATGAATATAATCACTGACGAGATGAAGTTTTTGAAACTCAATGGAGGGGATAGTGTGGTCGAAGTGACCACTTTTGGCAAAAGCCTACCCGAGCTCAAGGCTATGTCAGTGAAGTCGGGGGTGAATATCATAGCCGGCGCCGGGTTTTACGTGGAGAGCGCTATGCCCTCACATGTCGTACAATACACTACCGAACAGATCTATAATGAGATTCAATCGGATCTATTGGTTGGCGTGAATGGCATTAAATGTGGTGTCATTGGAGAGATAGCGTCCGACTGGCCTATCAATCCGTTCGAGAGGAGAGCGCTGGTAGCCTCGGCACAGGTCCAGCACGAGTTAGGCGTTCCCGTGATCCTACACCCGGGACGCAATCCGGACGCACCGACAGAGATAATGAGAATATTTCTGGAGTCGGGCGGAAAGGCAGACAAGACTGTTATGTCTCATTTGGATCGTAAGGAAAGAATTTGTTTTGACAACAAAACAATTGACTAAACATTTGCTCGAGAAATAAGTAATGAATTTGTTGTGAATATTGAGGTACTCTTAACGACGAGGAGTTACTGGAATTCGCGCGAATCGGATGTTTGAGTGAATTTGATTTGTTTGGCAGTGAGTGCTCTTACTATGAATTGAGTGATGCCTTCGATATGCCTAACGATGCGACAAGAATTAGACGATTAAAGCTACTCATCGACAATGGCTTTGGGCACAGGATCACCATTTCGCACGACATTCACACCAAACACAGACTTGTAATTTGTCAACTCATTTATTATGCATTTATTTTAATCATCTGTACCATTGTATCGCAGATGAAGTATGGGGGACACGGCTTTTCGCACATCCATATGAATGTTGTGCCCAAAATGAAAATGAGAGGATATAGCGATCAACATATTACTGATATTTTAGTTAATAATCCTAAACAGTGGTTAACACTGTAATTGCGAATATGTTTGTTATCATTCATTTATACCTTTTTATATTTCATTACTTATAAGAAATATTTTTTATTTAGAGATTAAGAAATACTCTGTTAAGTAAAAATATAACTTTTGAAAATAATTTCTTAAAAGATAAAATAAATATATTCAATGAGAATTACAAATAATTAATTTATAATAAATATAATGAAGACAACTTTGTTGCATATGTATATTAAATAACATATTATGTTGATCTGTAAGTATAATAATATTGGTTAAAATTAGTAATTGTTTAGGATATTATTAAGTTGATATAATACCCTTACACCATACTTTGAATAATGTCTCAGCAATGAGACGGAAATGTATTATATTTAGCACTCACTCCTTATTAATGGCATTAATTTATATTTCATAACATTGGATACCATCGCACTCTACACTCGTATAACTGGAGTACAACTATTTTTCTGAAGTAATTCACTGTCGTTATCAAAATGATATTTAGATAAGAAATAATGCTTTTTATTATTTATTCTTTAGTAACTAAATTGAGTGAACAGTTCGTGTAATTGTGTGTCACTTAAGAGCTCATAAATATATTTTAATCTAAATCTAAACCATATATGAATTACTTTTGAAGGTCTCTAGCAATTATTTGACAACAAAATACTTATTGCTCTAAATTTGCTAAATATTTCTAATATCATAACTTCATAACAAATTTTCGCTAAACTTTTCTTGCAGTTAATGTCTGATTGTAGCGTTCATATGATACACATGTGATATATTTAGCAATTGTTTTTCATGTGACAGTAATTTATAATATAATTATGACTATAATATCACTATTATTCAAAAATGAAAATATTTCTATATTTAATATTTTATTTAAAACTTATGTTTGTTGACAATTATACGTCTAATCATAACGATTCACTGCTTGTGTTTAATATTTATCGCAAAGATATTCATAGCGTTAAAATGGATAAACTTAAGACATCGAAGAATGGGATCAGCTTTAGGGACACCGATGTGTTGATGAATACGACTGGTGCCAAGTCACACATCGGACAAATTGATTACAGTTTGAGCGCAAATATACTAATTTGGAGAGTAGTTGAGCCTGATAATGTAATTTATGCTATGCCTATTGATACAAGGTTTGAAACTTTTGAAAAATGTTTTTTAAAATTTAATTATTTTAAATGTCTTTAAAACAAGTGTCGAGAATGTGTTGGGAATCAAGAAGACGACATTATTAGTGAAACTGAATAAATCCGAGTCAATACGGCTATCAATTGATTGGATCCATAATCTGATCTTTTATAACTTCAACGACAAGATTATAGCATTCAATTTGACACAACCCTTATATGGCTATATTGTGGTCAATGAAATGATCTTCAACTCAATCCTCGATTTATGTGTCAATCCATTGGATTCGCAACTGTTTTGGAGTGTCTCTGATAATAGTTTCAACAGAAGGGGTAAAATCATGAGAGCCTCGGAGGACGGATCCAATCAGACGCTCCTCATTGACACCGACATCAAAGAACCCATAACTCTGGCCATAGATCTAGTGATCAAGAGGTTGTATTGGATCGACAGAGCGCTCTTCCAAATCTACTCCATTGACTTCAACGGCAATGATCTGAAAAGTATCCACAAATCGCATCAATTATTCAAATTGTCTTTTTATATGATTGTATTTCATGATGACATTTATTGGTCCAACTATTATCACAGTTCCATACTTAAGATGAATAAGTTTGGTCTGAATAACACTCAAATCAGTTATTTAGTGAGGACTGAGACCGGCTCCGACATCGAGTCCATCAGAATTATCGATCCCTATCTTCAGCCCTATTCCACAAACAGATGCCTTCACTCCAAGTGCTCTCATCTGTGTCTACCTATGAGTGACAGACAATATCATTGCGTTTGTCCACAGATTAACTTCAATACTCATCTCTACCCCAATATTGATTGTGTAGAGTCTGTAAGTATTTTTAAAATGAATTAATTTTTTATTACAAAAGAAATATTAGATTTTCGCTAAAAATAGTGAGAACTTGTGATCAAATTATTATCGCATTTATATAATGATTCATAAATTTTAGTTAGATATAAACTTGAGAATATTTTTACTAGTACAGTAATATTACAATGTATTCATAATTTATAATGTTTGCTGTGAGAAAAATGTCAAATCAGAAATGTTAACAAATCTTTTAATCTCATTATTATAAACAAATATGTTTTACAGCAAATAATTCACTGATCGTATGTCTACTTCATTATCAGATTCACGACATTATTGACAGACCAGAGACTGGCATTCCTTTGGCTGAAAATACTGATACAAATTCATTGACAGAGAATTCACTGTTATTTACGACCGAATTTCATCCAAACGATAGTATTGCCGATAATAGTGACACAAAAACAATTTCATGCAATAATACACAACCAAAGAAATTATATCACATCAAAAACTATCAAACATCGAGTACTTTGTATTTACTATTAATAATCTCATTGACAATTAATTTTGTCTCATTCTTTGGGTTCGGTTTCTACTTATATCGACAGAGAAAAAAGTAAATGAAAAATAAATTTCTTATTGTAAGCCTATTAATGTTATATATTTTTTAACAGTAAACTGAATGAACGTTTAAGAGCTACACAAAGATCTTTACCGCAATTCAAACCAATTGAGTTTGAAATGATTAACAGCGAGACGTATCGTCTCATAAATTCAAATCCTCTCATATCGACCGACATGTCGGTGGGAATGGACTCTCAAAACCCTAATTTTGATCATCAAACGGATAATTCTTACAAATAAAAAGTCATAAAAATAGAAATTCATTGTATTTATTGAAGTCATCTGTTGTTCAATTACTACCAATTTTAATATGAAATGTTATAAATTATTGTTATTGAAGTTTTGTATTATATGTGGCAAGTGTTTGACGAAATACTATTGCCTTTCTTTTCACCAGTGATCCAGTCTTTTGGAGAATTATTCAATAAAATTGTTATTTATTTAATTTCCATATCATTCGTCACTCCATTTATTTATAATATCCTAAAATTGAAGCCAACAAACATGTTTCATTACTGTAACAGTTTAACTTATATACTGTAATGTCATGTATTTGTAAAAAAAATCACCAATTGATATATTTTTCAAGAATAGTGTTTGTGCTAATAATAAATTCAATTCAATCTAAATGTGTTTATTTTATTGATGTCATTGAGTCTGCAAACAAACTCAAGACTAATAACATAATAGAGTATCGATTAACGCATCTTTGGTTCAGTTTCCGTTACGATAACAATATTTTTGGCGCTTTTTGTGACTAATTGGCGATCAATTAGTACTCAAATAAGAAATTCTCGGAAATGGGTGTCAAATGATTGGCAAACATTGCTTCTGAAGAATTGCATTCAAAACAAGAATAACTAATTCTGTTAACAAAGTATCATTGCAAACATATTTGTGTGTATATGAGTGGATTTTTTGGTGCCATCATATGAAACCGATTCTAATGTTTGCAGTTTATTGTCGATATAAAATATGCGCTTGGTCTCATAATCAATTGTAAGGCAGCAAGGATTCAGCATTTGGGAGTCATAGCCATAGAAACCCATATCCACTATAATCTAGATATTAAACAATAATTATATCAAATAAATTTCTGCACTTAATTAATTATAAGTTTTTTGAGGTATAAATTAATATGAAAATTGTTGCATATAATTTCATTTATGGAGCAAATTGTTGAACACAATGCAAACTTAATGAAAAATGTTAATCAAAAGGTAATTAATTACATAGAAGTTATGTTGTCTCACGAATCCTATTATACTAATCATAGTAGGAATGCCTTACAATAAACTTACTGTACTAACTAGTAAGCTACATAATTTTATAAAATATTATATAATATAATTAATAAACCTGTATTTCTGATCTTGATATATTTAATTAAATTAAATTCTGAATATAAATTCATTAATTAAAATATTAAACAAAAGTAAAACCTTTTGATTGGCGCCGCTTTGTTCAGCTCTCATGAGTTTGAAATCATAGGTTCTTCGGTCAAAACGGATCCAAACGATGAACGACTCGACGGGATTGACCGCCACATCGATTGCGTGGAAATTATTATGCGACTCATGATTGCCACCAATTATTGTCTTTGATCTCTGGGTCTTCACATTTATTACTTTGATTTCTCCGTTTTCCACGTAATATAACAAATCGTGGACCCAATCGAGTGATATTCTCTGCACATCCGATGTCTGTAATAAGACTTTCTTGTTGTTAATGTTGAGCGCATTCTTTGCCTTTTTATCCAATGGTGCGATGATTATTGAACTTATATTACTCCAAATGAGATAATTATCTGATATGTCATAATCGATGTCATTATTACAGCCATTGGTGGGACTGTTTGGTAGACTTCTGAACGACTTCGGGCGACGACTTCTTCGGACGGACACCTTTCGGATCTGTCTCTTATAGATAGTAGGTTTTGATGTCAATAGGCTTTCATTGAGCGATACAATACGGATCTCTCGGTTTGAGTTGCAGAACAAGATCTCAGGACTTTTTTGTTCATTAATTAATTTTTGTTCATTAGTTGATAAATCATTTGTACTAATAGTTTGTTTAATAGTTAGAAAAATGAGCAATACTTGTAGAAATGAACTCATGTTTGCAAATATCTCCACGAGATATGAACACAAACTTTAGGTTATTGTTAATGACTTTTCTTTTCACTTGAATCTCTATTTTATTACTCTTTGAGAGAAAACTATTTGCGAGANCTTTATTGGACCAGAATATGTAATCGCCATAAATATCCAGACTACTGGTCATTGCAAACATATTTGTGTGTATATGAGTGGATTTTTTGGTGCCATCATATGAAACCGATTCTAATGTTTGCAGTTTATTGTCGATATAAAATATGCGCTTGGTCTCATAATCAATTGTAAGGCAACAGGGATTCAGCATTTGGGAGTCATAGCCATAGAAACCCATATCCACTATAATCTAGATATTAAACAATAATTAAATTTCTGCACTTAATTAATTATAAGTTTTTTGAGGTATAAATTAATATGAAAATTGTTGAACACAATGCAAACTTAATGAAAAATGTTAATCAAAAGGTAATTAATTACATAGAAGTTATGTTGTCTCACGAATCCTATTATACTAATTATAGTAGGAATGCCTTACAATAAGCTTACTAACTAGTAAGCTACAAAATTTTTAAATTATTATATAATATAATTAATAATCTCTGATCTTCATATATTTAATTGAATTGAATTCTGAATATAAATTCATTAATTAAAATATTAAACAAAAGTAAAACCTTTTGATTGGCGCCACTCTGTTCAGCCCTGTTCAGTTTGAAATCATAGGTTCTTCGGTCAAAACGGATCCAAACGATGAACGACTCGACGGGATTGACCGCCACATCGATTGCGTGGAAATTATTATGCGACTCATGATTGCCACCGATTATTGTCTTTGATCTCTGGGTCTTCACATTAATTACTTTGATTTCTCCGTTTTCCACGTAATATAACAAGTCGTCGCCCGAAGTCGTTCAGAAGTCTACCAAACAGTCCGACCAATGGCTGTAATAATGACATCGATTATGACATATCAGATAATTATCTCATTTGGAGTAATATAAGTTCAATAATCATCGCACCATTGGATAAAAAGGCAAAGAATGCGCTGAACATTAACAACAAGAAAGTCTTATTACAGACATCGGATGTGCAGAGAATATCACTCGATTGGGTCCACGACTTGTTATATTACGTGGAAAACGGAGAAATCAAAGTAATTAATGTGAAGACCCAGAGATCAAAGACAATAATCGGTGGCAATCATGAGTCGCATAATAATTTCCACGCAATCGATGTGGCGGTCAATCCCGTCGAGTCGTTCATCGTTTGGATCCGTTTTGACCGAAGAACCTATGATTTCAAACTGAACAGGGCTGAACAGAGTGGCGCCAATCAAAAGGTTTTACTTTTGTTTAATATTTTAATTAATGAATTTATATTCAGAATTCAATTCAATTAAATATATGAAGATCAGAGATTATTAATTATATTATATAATAATTTAAAAATTTTGTAGCTTACTAGTTAGTAAGCTTATTGTAAGGCATTCCTACTATAATTAGTATAATAGGATTCGTGAGACAACATAACTTCTATGTAATTAATTACCTTTTGATTAACATTTTTCATTAAGTTTGCATTGTGTTCAACAATTTTCATATTAATTTATACCTCAAAAAACTTATAATTAATTAAGTGCAGAAATTTAATTATTGTTTAATATCTAGATTATAGTGGATATGGGTTTCTATGGCTATGACTCCCAAATGCTGAATCCCTGTACGGAATGTTAACTAATACTCTGGTTCGCGTATAAAATATAGCTGTTATTTGACGTTTGTAATCTTAGCCAAAGTATACTACCGTGGTTTTTTAGGTGAGTATATGTGTGTTTATACAAACGTTACTCCAGTAGTCTGGATATTTATGGCGATTACATATTCTGGTCCAATAAAGTACAATCTGGTTCAATCCTTAGTACTAATAAATACGGAAAAAGTGCTAACATTAAGTCAATCATTAAATCTGAACAAAACATCGATAGCATCAAAATCTTACACCACTCTAAGCAGCCTTTCATTGAAAACCGGTGTCAATTGTCCAAATGCACACACCTTTGCATCCCAGCCCCTAATGATCAACACGTTTGTGTTTGTGATAACGTCAAAAAGCAACTATGCAATGAAACTGTAAGTCATATATGATTTAAACGAGTATTTGAATTTTGTAGTAATTAATGAAATTTAAAAAATACATTTAAAGTACGTTATTGTGAGTAATATAACGGTTAGCAAAAGTGGCAAAGAAATTGAAGAACTCACCGAAGAGAATAAGATAAACGAGATTTTAATAACAGAAAATTATGCCAAATCTTATCCATTATATGTGTTCAGATGCCTAACAGTTTATGATAAGGATAATAACTCACTTAAAGCTGATTTGTATACAAAAGATGATCAAAAACTCATTGGTATGTATTGTAATGATAAAAACAAACCCAATTGTAATTACTTTGATTATCAACTTCCATACGACAGATAAGTTTAAAAAGACTCCGATTGCTAAAAACATTACCACAAAAGGAAATAGCGTTCAAATGAAAATCAGTTATCCTTACATTAAGCAACTGGATAGTTTTAAATGTAAATCAATATCGGGAAATCAATCATATGAAACCAATTATAAAATAACCGTCAGACAAATGCCTAGCCATCCCAGAGTTGTGAGCCATAGCTTAAGTTTCGGTGAGTTTCATATTATAGACTATCATTTATAGTAAAACTGATTTTAATGATAGACTATTATCATTTATAACTATAATTCATAGTCTATACATAATTTTGGATATATTTGTATATGATTACAGCCGGTGGTACAAAGGCGTACCTAACTCTTCAGATTGAGAATCCAAGAGTTGATCCGCCGATTGATAAATACCGAGTGGTTTACAGAGGAATATTCAATTACTATCAACAAGAATATTGGGTTGACTTCAATATGGTACAAAGGCTTACTTAACTCTTCAGATTGAGAATCCAAGAGTTGATCCGCCGATTGATAAATACCGAGTGGTTTACAGAGGAATATTCAATTACTATCAACAAGAATATTGGGTTGACTTCAATACATGTAAGTATTCAATGGATTCTTGTTTTTTATAATACCCTATACTTAGAGCGTGTATTTGATAATAAAAAAAACTATTATTTCTTTAGTGAATGTCAGCGAAAGTGATAAAAACACTATTTATGTCGTCAAACTTGATGTCGATTACACTTCTCAAGACTTGTTGGCATTTAAACTCTACGCTCACAACCCGGTCGGCTGGTCCTACCCTCTCTTCAATTGAATTCAACATTTCATTCATTTGAATCTTCATTTCGTTAGCATTTATCATATTTATTTCACTTTATTTAAGAAAACACATTTTATTATATATTTAGGTTTTTTGAACTTAAATTATGTAAGCGTTTGATGATTTGGTTTTTCGTAATTAGTTTGCCTGTAGGGTGAATGCGTTCACAGCAATCATAATAATAAATAAACAATTTGTGATATTTCTCTTCAAAAATCATGAAATCATAAAAAAACGTATTTTTCTTATTCATTAAATAAACGAAAGTTTGATAAACGAAAGTTTAAAGAGGGCTGTTGCGCCGCATACACGAAGTCCAGTCATCTGACCGCTCACTTACGCAGACATACCGGTCAGTCCCGCACATACTCTCTCTATAAGTGTACAAATCTTAATGAAATTTACATGAATTACAGGTGAGAAGCCATATGTATGCAATTGGCCCGACTGTGACTGGAGGTTCTCCAGGTATAGATTCATTCAGTTTTTTACATTTATTTAAATCAATCATAAATAGTACACAAAGACTTGTTTGCGAACATAAATGAACTAAACTTTGAATGCATCGCCAAAAGAGTCGAGTCATGCATTGAATTATGAATTATTTGGGAAAAAGCATAAAATAATTGTTGACTTAATATAATTGATTTCATGATTTGATGCTCAGGTCGGATGAGTTGTCACGACACAAGCGCTCGCATACGGGGGAGAAGACCCACATCTGTCCGTTCTGTTCGAAAGGCTTCTCCCGATCCGATCACTTGAGTAAACACTTTCGCGTCCATAAGCAGGAGCTACCGGACGGTCTCGATGTGAAGCATTTAATCAAAAACGCCAGAAAAACGAAGAATCGCTTCTGATTACAGCATTTCATCCGTTTGTTTCTCCAGAAAATATACGATATTTTTATCCATTTATTAACCGTTTGTTTTTCAGTTGGCGTTGATTTCCCTGTTGTTGTGTTTTATTGTCATACAATTCTCGCATTTATTTATGTCATAAGAATTCTATGGAAAATCTAAATTCAATTCTCTCTAAAGACTGTGAAACAAGTATTTATGTATAAATCATTAGAGATTTCATGGTTTGAATGCAATTATATATATGAAATAAACCTCATTTCATGTTTAATTTATCATTTTTTATTCACACAAAAGGCTTATTTAATTTTTTAGATATTTTTAATGTAATTTTAATTTTTTTAAGCAAAGTTTTATATAATTATCTGATTTATTTTGAAACTCAAATTCATTTCTAATTATACTCAATAAAAGTTGTTTTGTTTAAAAGCTATTTGATTTGCATTTAAATTCCTACTTAATTTTGACGCTAAGTATAGAAAATATTTTTCTCTAAAATTAAGTACTAATTAAATATATAAATGACAGGTTAGTATTTGGGGGACAGGTATGTGTATGACCTATAGACGTGACTTTTAGGCATTCCTCGAAAGTCTTGGATTGATCTAATCACTTTGATTATTATTAGTATATCAAGAATCTTGATTGATTCAAGATATGAAAAGTATAGTTAAGTCTTAATATTTGAGATATTGGCAGCTATTATAGTGTTTGTAATTATTATGTCATATAAAAGTAATTAATTTTAGCGAACATTTTGAACGCTATTAATACTATTGCCATAAAAAAGTAATTCTAAAAATACTTTGAATACAAATCGTGTAAAACTTTTGTCGCTTTATTACTAGAAAAAGATTATAAATATTGAAAGTAGTCTACAATAGGATGAAAGTGATTGAAAGGGAAAGGGTATTAAAAATACAATTAAGAGCCGATAGACGTATACACCGGTGACTGACTGCCTGAGCAATCGCACCGAACAAAGGGATACCAATTCGGTTAAAAACCTTAACGAATATCCCATACCCTGAATATAGTGTGTAATTATTTTCGCTCCCAAACTGGTTATATATTATTGTTACATAAGCTTACAGTGGAGTAGTTCTTCAGTTCATCATTTTGTTTAGCCATTGATGTGATGGTATTTATGCGAGAATAGGGTTACAGTGTATATAATATAAAATATATGTTTCACTGGTTTTATTTGGCTTCCAGTCATTCACTGATCGCTCTTCAGAGCCATTCCTCTCAAATAGTTTTCTCTCAAAGAGTAATAAAATAGAGATTCAAGTGAAAAGAAAAGTCATTAACAATAACCTAAAGTTTGTGTTCATATCTCGTGGAGATATTTGCAAACATGAGTTCATTTCTACAAGTATTGCTCATTTTTCTAACTATTAAACAAACTATTAGTACAAATGATTTATCAACTAATGAACAAAAATTAATTAATGAACAAAAAAGTCCTGAGATCTTGTTCTGCAACTCAAACCGAGAGATCCGTATTGTATCGCTCAATGAAAGCCTATTGACATCAAAACCTACTATCTATAAGAGACAGATCCGAAAGGTGTCCGTCCGAAGAAGTCGTCGCCCGAAGTCGTTCAGAAGTCTACCAAACAGTCCCACCAATGGCTGTAATAATGACATCGATTATGACATATCAGATAATTATCTCATTTGGAGTAATATAAGTTCAATAATCATCGCACCATTGGATAAAAAGGCAAAGAATGCGCT